CCCTGGAGCTGGCATCCTGAATTCAGACTTCTAGCCTACTAGACTGTGAAAGAATAAATTTCTCTTTGTTAAAGCCATCCACTTGTGGTATTTCTGGTATAGCAGCACTAGATAACTAAGACAATCACTAATACCATTCCCCACTAAAAGAGGCCAGGGGTCCTCAGAAAAATGGCTGATTCCAGAGTTGGGGAAGGGTAGATGCAAGATGAGCCTGCAACATCTTCTTATACCAGAAAGTAAGGAAGTGCTCAAAAAAATAATGGGGGAATGTCACAAGGTCACAGGCTCCAGCTTGAAGGAGCTTCCATGTACCAAATCTGGGACAACTTGAATGCCAAAACAATTAGGAATAATAATGAACATGAGCCATTGAAAAAAAATGGGAACTTACGAGTCCATACCAGAAACCCTGGTGGTGTAGTGGTTAAGTGCTACAGCTGCTAACCAAAAGGTCAGCAGTTCAAATCCACCAGGAGCTCTTTGGAAACTCATGGGGCAGTTCTACTCTGTCCTATAGAGTCGCCCATACCAGTAATAAGTAAACCAAAAAAACCAAACCCGTTGCCATTGAGTCGATTTTGACTCATAGCGACCCTATAGGACAGAGTAGAACTGCCCCATAGAGTTTCCAAGGAGCACCTGGTGGATTTGAACTGCCAACCTTATGGCTGCTAACCTAGATAAATAAATTAATGGGAGAGAAAAGAGAGCACTTGCTTACAGTAGAATGCTAAATGACAGCTGATAAGTATGGAAGAATGGAGTTGGAATGTCATCAATTTGTAACCATCATAGTATAAAGTGGATCAGGCAAGAATCATCAATGGATGCTAAATCTGAGGGGAAATTTTAAAGAGTAGCAGTATATTTGCATGTTCTTAAATTTCTCTCTCCATAAATTGCTTATTAGCGGCCAAAGAAAACATAATAACTAGACAATGGAGAAATCAGACAACATCTTGACTAGGTGCTCAAAATTAACATCACCAGTGTGGGGCAAATGAACACTGTATGCCTCCAGGTGTGATACTCTGAGGACAGAGCATCACTTATCTAGTATTACGGCCAGGAATGCATATCTTTAATCTTATTATTAGATAACATTAGATAAAACCACACTGAGGGAAAAAGGAAGGGAGCTTATATTCTTCAAAAATGTCAGCATCATGTAAGAAAAAGAAAGATGGTGGAAATATCCCAGATTAAAAAAGACTGTTGTTGTTAGGTGCCATCGAGTTGGTTCCAACTCAGCAACCCTATTTTTTTTTTTTTTTTGGTTTTTAAAAAAGAGTAAAAAGGCTAATACCTGATCCTAGACTATATCATGTACTAGAGTGCAAAATAAATAAAAAAAAAAACGGGGTGGGGTGGAGGTTATGAAGGACATTATTGGGCCAATCTACATAATTAGAATACAAATACTGTTAATTATAAATTTAAATTTACTGAAGTTGATAACTGTAATATGGTTACATGCAAAAATATCCTTAATTCTTAGGAACACTAAAGTGTTTGGGAATAAAGGGTCATGATATATGTAATTTACTCTCAGATTACTCAGAAAAGAAATTGTGTGTGTGTGTGTATGCGTGTGTGTGTGTGTGTGTGTGTGTGTGTGTGTGTGTGTGTGGAGAGAATGCAAATGATAGAGCAGGTGGGGTAAAATGTTGACAATGGGTGGATCTGAGTAGAGGGTATATGGTGTTTTTTTTATACTATTCTTATTCTTGCAACCTTCTGATACATTTGAAATTATTTCCAAATGAAAGGTTAAGGAAAAAAATGTGATTAGTGATTAGATTAAGTGTTCTGCATTCTTGAGAGAGAATTTATTGAGATCTAACAAGGTTCTTGCATATGGAGAACCTAGATGGTGGCTGGGAGAGCCTAATTCACCTTTGAAAGTAATAGTCTTGGAATCATAGTGTTGTGTTGATCAATAGGCCTGCTGGTTTTCTTGGCCTCTTATCCTAACACTGTTGTATGAATCCAGTAGAACTGTGCCCCGGGTAGCTACTAAGTTAGCTAAGTTAGCTACTTAGTTAAGTAGCCACAGACTCCATTCTGTGTGCATCTCTCTCAGAGAAAGATGTTTGTAGTGTTGTGCTGTTGAGTCGATTCCAACTCAGACCAGCCCCATAGGATAGAGTAGAACTGCCCCATAGGATTTCCTAGGCTGATAAGGCCTAGGTATAAGCTACCCTAAAAGACTGTGGAAAGCAACACGGACCCTGAGTGGAATCTACAGGCTCATCTTGGTTGAGCTCAGTAAAGTTGAGTAGCTTCCATGCCTAGAACAGGATAAATTAGGTAGCTCGACATCCCAGAGCTCATGGACTCAGCATTGGTATTGAGAGACTTTGGCAGGAAGATAAAAATATAAATCCTTAGAGCTAAGCCATGAACTGCCCTGCATACTCCACTAATGATTTACCCAGGTCTCACCAACCGGAAAAGAGCCCTGGTGACACAGTGGTTAAAGCACTCAGCTGCCAGCCAAAAGTTTGGCAGTTCGAACCCAGCAGCCATTCCATGGGAGAAAGATGCGGCAGTTCTGTTTGTGTAAAGATTATAGCCTTGGAAACCCTATGGGGCAGTTCTACTCTGTCCTATAGTATCACTATGAGTCAGAATCAACTTGATGGCAATGGGTTTGCATCAGACTAGAAAGACATGGTGTTCTTTGCAATAAACCAGAAATTACTGATACCATTAACTCCATCACAGAAATTAGGAATTCATTAAAAGACAGGTAGTTTTATTACATGCATATATATGTCCACATCTGAAAAATAATACCTAAAATAGTTTTAAGAAATCAGGTTTTCTTGTTTTTCCAATTAGACTCATGTTATTCATTCACTTTTCTTTTATTAACTCCCTAGTGGGGACAAACAGTAAAAGGCTCCCCAAGGTTTTTAAAAAAATTGTGAAAAAAAAATTGATTTCGACAATGATATCCTTTATCCTAGTTTTTTCCTGGGATTTGCGGAAAAGGCATAATCAGATCTGCAAACCACAGTATTGGAAGAACTTTAGAACAAGGGACACTCCTAGTATCTATGGTTCTCCCCAGGAGCATGTAAAGAGGAATTGTCTTGAGTGGTCTTTGGACACTATAAAACAGAACTACCAAAGTTAATGTAGGAAGTCAGGAAAATTCTCTTCTAAAGGAGAGTTCTGTGAGGCTTTGGGGCAGCCAGAGGAAGTAGTAGAAGCCCTTTTAGTTGCCAACTAAAATAGACATGACCTAAAAGAAGGCTGAGAGGGCCCTTTGGGGCCATGCTGGCCCAGACCAACCAATACGTCTATTTGTCTCTCTGTCTCCCTCCTCTCATCTTTAACATTCCTTTCTTGGCTGAGGGTGTAGGGGCTTTTCTCAGTTTTAGGTTTGGGACTTTTGCCAGTTCCCATCCTGCTTGAGGAAGTTCGTAACAACTGTTCTAAGAGAATGGATGGGAGTGGATACTTGGCCAAGCAGGGCAAGGCCCACACTGCCTGTTGCCCAGCTGCATAGTGAATATAGATGGGGTACGAAGGTGTACCCAGAGCCCATGCTCTGACATTGGATTTGACTGGCACTCTAGGCCTTGCATCATTTTTTCTGCACAGAGAGAAGGCCATCTACTTGTCCTCATCATCAGTTATCTCTTAGAAGAGAGAAATAGAGAAATGTCTGAGTCAAAGAAACTTTTATACATATCCTATTGTTAGAAAGGCTGCTTAGAGGGCCCCTCTATGCAGTGATGTGAGTCTGGGACTGTGCTCCTCTAGAAGCTTTAGAGGGGTGCTAAAGCTCCTCTTTCATCACACCCACCTTTGAAATGCGCTGAATTTTTTTTAACTACAATTTTTTGAATGTTTGTTATGCCTGAGTTTTATGCCTGAAGCTAAAACTGTGACTGAGAACGAAAGGCTTTGACAGAACTTAGTTTCTCCGAGTCAAAATCTCTCTCTAGTTTCAGAACTCAGCTCACCTCAGAAAGCTCTCACTGCCGTCTTATGAATGTGCGTGGAGTTCTCGGCAATCCTCTTTAACACCCACATCCCCAATTCCAGATTCTGCATCATCTGTCATGGACTAAGCCTGTTTCCCAGTCCTGACCTACCATGGCCCTGGTTTCCAACTGCTTAGCCTGTGTCCAAGTAGATAAAATACATACTGCCTCATATAAATGCTATCACCTTTTATGCCTTGATTCAATATTTCTCTGTTGTTCATATGTCCTGTTTGTGTATAGGCATGAGTATGTGTCTGTATTAACTGAGTAACTTGGACAAAGTCAATGCAGCAAGTCACAAAAGTGATACTTGAACTCAGAGCTTTGAACTTCAAAGCTCATACAACTGTGTATGGAGCACTGGACTACATGCACCTCTATTTGTGCATTGTTGACTCGTAGTTCCTAGAATGGTGCTTGGCACATGGAAGGCATTCAGTGTGTATTGATTAAATTAATGAGTGAATGATTATTGTGATAGTCTTGTGCTTTGATTTAGTCCAGTGTTAGTTTTTTTACAGGCTGACTTCTGAGAGCTAACTACTGGCATAGCAACACTGTTTTGCTTATGGTAGAGATGACTCTTCCTTCTAATGATTATGCGTTTATTTTCTTAGTTGCATTATAGTCTGTAGCCATTCTTTCTTTTATTACATTTTTATTTTATTTTTAATTGTACTATTGTTGTTGTTGTTGTGTGCCGTTGAGTCGATTCCAACTCACAGCAACCTTATAAGACAGAGTAGAACTGCCCCATAGAGTTTCCAAGCCTGTAAATCTTTACAGGAACAGACTGCCACATCTGCCTCCCGTGGAGCAGCTGGTGGGTTCGAACTGCCAACTTTTTGGTTAGCAGCCAAATGCTTAACCACTGTACCACCAGTGCTCCTTAAATGTACTATTAGCTGGTGATAAAGGATGTGAGGGATTTCTTGGATCCTGGTTTGTTTTGTCTGTCTGGTTAATCTCTGGGGTGGGGTTTTGAATGTTTTACAGCTTTTGGATCTCTTCATCCAGTGGGATTGGTCAACCTACCTTGCTGACTATGGTCAGCCCAGCTGCAAGTACCTCCGGGTAAACCCAGTGACAGCTCTGACCCTGCTTGAGAAGTGAGTATCCAGTCCAGTGGTCTTTGGTGGGAAGTGAAGTGATAGGGGTGGGGAATTGGGACTTGCCCTTTGCCAAGACCTTGAAAAGACAGAAGAATGGCCCATTCTTGAAGTTGTCCTTAGGTGCTATCAGCAGTCTCCATCTTTGGACTGGGCAGGCCAATCTTCCTCTAATAGCCTCTTAATTCTTGAGCCCCAACAAACTAGGCCAAGCATGGGTCAGAATTGGACTCTGACATTTCCTTGGAGCCTAATGAGAGCAGCATGTTTTTTAAGGATGACAGGAGAAGAAAGAAAAGTGCCTTAGTTTGGGGCTCAGGCCAACCTCATGAACAGAATGAGTCATCTGGAGTATGATGATGGACAGGCAGCCCACAGAACAGGTGACTTCTCTGGTTCCTAGTAGGAATTACTGAAACCTTCTCCTGCATGCCTTTGTTCCCTCCAGATTGAATTTTATTATGCTGACTGTCCCAAAAAAGCTCTGTTGGAGAAGGTATCTAATTCTTGCCTTAGACAGTCACTAGTCAGCAGAGGTTGCCCGCCACAGACCTATGGCCTCTCTGAAGCAGAGATGCTGTCACTGAGATTGGGTTAGCCAGCTCTAGAGCATCTCACAGCTAACCAATATGTCAACCACATGCTGGGATCTGCTATTGGTTGCAGCCTGGCCCTGGCTTTTACTAACCTAGTTGAGAGCTGGCAGGCCAGAGACCAAGATCCATGTAAAAGGGTAACATTTTCTTGCAGTAGGTAACTCCCAGCTGCTTAGAAGCTGCTTAGAAGGTGTATCCACAGAAAGAAAGGCTCCAAAATGTTCTCAGGACCTAGCCAAGGTATCCTGAGTACCCTGCATCTGGGCAGTATAGCAAGTCTACATGTATGGTCAAACAGGTCTCAAATCCTAGGAAGGCAAGGGACAGAGTCCAGGAGGCCAGAATGGAGCTTATAAGCAGGAGAAGAGGCTAAGGTATATACTTCTTACTATGTAATATGATAGGAGAGTAAAGGGAAGGAGTTGGAGAGTAGACAAGAGCAGGATGCAGTGTATGTGTTTGTAGCCAAGAGGCTAAGAGCCCAGAGTACTACTTTCTCCTGACCAAGGCAGAGACTGATGTTTCCATTTTAACTTTGTTTCCATGGTTCTCTTTCCCAATGACCTTCCTCTCTAGGATATCTAGAGAGTAAGTATATTATTCACTTAGGCCTTTTCCATCACTTTGAGGCAAGTCCTTCTGGTTTCCTCGTTGACACTAATGACTACACTAAAATCCCTACCCTGTGAGTTGTCCTTGCCCTGGCATACTGATCTACTAAACCAGCCTGGTGCCACCTGGCTGACTGCCTCCTCTATCCTTGGTCCTTAGAGTGACCCTTGGCTTACCAATTCCTTTGGGGCTTGGAGTGGTGGCAGGGATTTTTCCCCATCAGTGCCAGGTAAAAGGTTGTTCCACTTAGCTTCCTGGAACACTCAATACTCTTGCTCGAGCAGAGCCTGAAACTGAAGTCTGACAGAAGGAAGTTTCTCAGCAGTCTTCCCTACCTCCTGGTGTTGATGCCCTTGGCTTTAAGATCCGGAACCTACCTCTCCAATGGAAGACTCTTCTTTAGGAGCAGATTCAGCCCAAGGTCTAATTCCATAGTTCTCAGTACCCAGCTGACATGGGGAACATTTTGGCCTTTGAGTTGGTGCTTAGATAGTCATATTCATTATGCGTCCAAATGGGGTTTCAGTCAGTTACCTCTCTCAACTGAAGTCCTTTGAGGACCTGAGGATCTCTAGATCCTGGAAGTAGTGGCTCATCCATTTCCTGTAGATCAACAGTAGGCATTCCAGAGGCCTAGCCAGTAACAAAGCCATGTGCTTACTCTAGCAGTCAACAGGGTTTAAAAACTTCCTTCTAAACACAGTAGGACCACAGGCCATCCAGATCACTGAAATCCACATCTCCCAGCCTCATAGGAATCAATCCCTTTACCTAACCCATTCCTACTTTCTTCACAGTCAGCTGTACCACCAGGGCAGTCTCTTCTTTCTCAATCTGGCCCATCTTAGCAGGGTGAGACATGGAGAGACTCAAAGACCTGCTGAGGACATTTGAGGCCCCTGTATCATTGAGAGGTGACCATAGCCAAAGTCAGTCAGGATCCCGGGTTTACAGAATGGTATGGGAAGTGGAGAGGGCTATCCTTTGGTGTTGGAACATCCCAAGGCTACAAACCAACATGCCACTATCAGCCCTCAGGTACTTGAGTTTATCTTTATAGTGCCTAATCCCAACTCCTGGCCTTATCAGAGAGTAATGGTCAAAAGATCCTAGTCTCTGGGGGCTCAGAGACTACCTGCTTCTTTCTTTTCTTTTACATTATTACAAGAGCTTCCCTATGGGAGCTGAAAGCCAGCTCTGCCTGCCTGTTCCTGGGCTGCTTCTAGGAATCATAAAATTAATGATCACATAAAAACCAAACCCATTGCTGTCGAGTCGATTCCGACTCTTAGTGACCCTATAGAACAGAGTAGAACTGCCCCAAAGGGTTTCCAAGGCTATAATCTTTTACAAAGCAGACTGCCACATCTTTCTCCTCTGGAGCCACTGGTGAATTCAGACTGCTGACCTTTCAGTTAGCAGAAGCAGAAAGCTTAAGTGCTTTAATTCCCCTTTTTTCTTTTTTGTTTGGTTTTGTGTTGTTATTGTTGTTTAGATTTATAGCACACCCAGCAAATGAAAGGGAATCCTTCTCTAGGATAAATAATCTAAAATCTGGCCAGTTCCACAAACGTAATTATGCAGTTAGTTTGTAAGGGACCAAATACAGTAATCATCACAGCCTTGAGGATCCTCGTGCTTTCTTTCCAGCTAACCCCTGTTATTTCTCCTTTCCTCTAAGCACAGGCCTCACCATGTAGGTGTTGATGCTTTACATTTGGTATTTTCAGTTTGCTTGATGAGTAATACCAAACTGAAGGCCCTTGACCTTAGAGCAGAGAGAGAATTCCCAATTAGTTTGTGGCTGTCACTGTCAGCCAGAGCCATACAGCTGTGGTGTTCACCAGAACCTATTTACCATGTGGGTATAAATGCACTAGTGGGATCTCTGGGCTTTTGATTCGCTGGCCTCTAATCTACCCCTCTTCAAATGGCAACCCCACAGAAAGCAACGAGCCAGGGTTGGCTGAAGGCCCTGAGACGTATACCTCGCGGTAGCTTACTCCCCAGTACCAGATTCCTTCCCTCGCCTCTTCTAGCCTGTCTCCATGCAGCCCAGGGAGCAGTGAGGCCAGAGAGCTGACCCAGCTCCTGAGGGATGATGGTGAAGGTCTGCCTACCCCCACCCTAGGGAGAAATGGATCTAGGCATTATTCTTAATTCTCTGACACTAGAACTAGCTGTGGGCTGGGGAGTCTGGTGTGCAGAGGCTGGGGTCAGAGTTAACAGTCACCAATAGATGTCAGGGGTTGTGAGCTCTCTGCAGCAAATAGCAGGTTCCTGGATTCTATCGTAATGGCTTAGTCAGATTGGGGGTTTCTATGACAGTCTCAGCCTGGCCTTGACATAGAGCCCAGTTAGGGCCCCCCATCTGACAAAACTATTGGTCAGAACTCCCCATGGTTTGTGCTGTAGGAATATGCCATTTATGGAGCTTTAGCATGATTCAATAACAGAAGGTTCTCCAAAGGCCAAGGATCTGAGGGTATAGACAGCCAATGAGAACTCAGGGATTTCTTTTGCCTAAGGTCCTGGTTTATCAAGTGGGAGGATGGCCCAGCCCTTTGGCATCTACTTTCCTCAGCACTATCCCTCTTAGCCACCTCATGGCCTATGTATAGGCCTTTACCCTGAGACAAAAGAAAGGAATCATTCAAGCCCTTAGTTTTGTTAGAGATAGGATATAGTAATAGGTTGAGTGAGGTTTAGAAATACACACTGGCTTTTGGTTATTCATATTCTCTTAGAATTGCTAGTCAAGAGTTTTTTTTTTTTTTGCCTTTCCTGTCAAATACTAGCTACTAAGAGGTTGCATCAGGATTTCCTAGATTAGTAGGCTTGTGAGGTAATAAGTGGAGCCCCGGTGGTGCAGTGGTTAAGCGCTCAGCTGCTAACAGAAAGGTCAGCGGTTCGAACCCACCAGCCACTCTGTGGGAGAAAGATGTGGCAATCTGCTTCCATAAAGATTACAGCCTTGGAAACCCTATGGGGCAATTCTACTTTGTTCTATGGGGTCGCTGTGTGTCGGAATCAACTCAGTGGCAACAGAGGAAGACATTCCCTAAGAGCCTATTGATCAGCAGAGCTGTAGCATGTCCTAGACACCTATAACAGATGTATAGCTGGGAAGAGAAAGGAATGAATTGGTGGGGTAGGGTATGGTGGTAAGGGGACTGGTCCCTCTAAGCTGGGTCTTGACTATTTCCCAAAGGTGACTGAATTGGGAGGACTGTGGGTGCCAGCAGAACAGCTTCCTGTTATTCCCCTGCTCTGAGTAGTGGGTAAGATGCACTATGTCGTTCCTACCTCCTGCAAGTTTTCCTTCCACCATTGTCTCCTCAAGCTTTTTGCCTTCTTTCCTTCCTTCTCTGTTCAGAAGGAACATAGTCAGCAAATGAAAGGGAATCCTTCTCTAGGATAATTAATCTAAAAACCTTCCCTTTCTGTTTAGGATGAAGGACACTAGCCGCAAGAACAACGTGTTTGCACAGTTTCGGAAAAATGAGCGAGACAAGCAGAAACTGATTGACACTGTGGCCAAGCAGCTCCGGGGACTCATCAGCAGCCACCACTCATGAAGGCTCGTCTCAGGCCCACAGAGGCTGCTCGCTGCAGCTCCATAGTCCGGGACCCAGCCCTGGCTAGCCCTTTATTTGTGCATTCTTCTTCAAAGAGAGCATATGTATTTTTTTATTAACCCTTGTACAGTATTCACATAACCTTTCCCTATAGGAAAAGAGGCATGAGAATAAGCAAGTGCATGAGATGTCGCTAGGCTGGGACTCAGGGGAAGTTATTGCTACACTGTCTGTATTATCCTAGAGATGATGGTATCAGCAATCCCAGTGTAATGAGCCACCTTTCATTCAGAGCTTAGGTCTGGGGTTCGGGAACTACATAAAGTAAGGCCTTCACACTGGGAGATAAGGTGGATAGGCAAAAGGATATTCTGTTCAATCTTGGGTGCCCCATTCATCACATAGGTGAGGCTGATTCTTTTTGAAGCAAGTTAAAGAAGACCCGGCAAACATTACTATTTAGTACATTAAAGACTAACATCGCAGTTCTGGAGGTCCATCCCCTCAGACCACTGACTTTCGTTGGCTGGTGAGCAAACACGGCATGCAGCAAGATGACAGCTTCACTCCAATCCCCAAAGGATAATAGTTTCTTTAGCTTAGATCTGACCCAAGGTTTTTACTGCTAATTTTTCTGGGACAGGATAGAGCTGAGTAGGCAGTGGTAATAACTAAACCCCATGACTAGCTCCAGGTTGCTCTCATACCAGGAATGTTGAGTCTCAGCCCAAAGAGTTTTGCTGGATCTTCAAATCCACTGTTAATGGAATCAGAGCCTCAGTCCCTTCCCTGTTCATCTCATTTCCTTCTTTCAGGGTCAGGGCACTTGCTTCAGGGCACAGGTCAACAGTTATTTCCTATAGGTCCTCACAAAGAATGCCAGATTTGACCCTCTTCAGCAGTGTCATTGGAATAGGTCAGATCCCAGCAGCCTGAAAATAGCTCTCACTTTACCCTTAGGGCTGAGGGTTTCTTGGGATTGTTCCTTCATGTCTTAAAATCAGCTTTCTGGCTACCTTAAAGGAAGTATCACCAACTCTGCAGTGTGAGGGCAGCCACAGCTGGACTGGATGCCTCTAGGGATGGAGTCACTGTCACCATGAAGTAGACCGGGCCAACCATGGCTAGTGGTTTGTTGCTGTTGACCCAGTTGTCCCTCACTAAGTCACACCCAGGATATGAAGTTCTTCTTGCTCAAGCCCAAGGCTTTCATCTTCTTTTGAGATCCCCAAAGCCATCTTTTGGCCTCGCCTGAGAAAGGTTGTCTATAACCCTTATCCCCCAAACTCTGGAGGTTGTACAGGAAGGCTGGCCTAGCTTAACTTAGAGGCTATGTCCATTGTCCCAGATGGGCTCCTGAGACTCAATGCAAGGGCTTTGTTATGAGGTCAGTCAGAAGAACCTGCACTTTAAGACACTCCAAGAAGATGCTATTATGGCTGCTGGCAAGAGTATAATTGTGCATCACCAATGACAGATATGCCACACTGGCATTTCCAGCTTGGATTAGTGGGAGGAGAGACTCATCAAACAAAATTCTTCATTACCTTTGTCAGCTACTGAGTTGCTTCTGGGGAGGGCAGTGCTTCCTCTTTCACTCTGCACTCCCTACCCACATCATATCCTATCACAACTTGAAAACCATGAGGAAGAGAATATGCACAATGACATCAGCCCTCCTTAAAGCTTGAGAGATCAGGCTGCATGTGAGCTCTGCAGAAGCCTGCTAAGGTTCATCCTGAGGACTTTACAGTTGGTCTTAGGATGAAGGGCCTCAGGATGAAGGTCAGGGATGAGTGCTGCCACCGAGAACTCCATAAGCCAAGGAAGGCGGGGCCTTATGAGAGTGAGGCCCAGGATACCATCTTCTCCCAAGCTCTGGATTTTGTTGAAAACAGCAAGAAATGACTGCACCAATCTGAAGTCCTGTTGCTTGAGAAGGACCCAAAGCACCCTCCTTCACTAGTTCCCTGTTTTGGGGCAGGATCTGTTCAGCTTTGAGTGCTGAGACTTTGAAGTGGGAAGGGAGAGTATCTTAAGCATGTTATAGTTTCAATCTTTTTAGAGAATTATCATTGCTGATTTGGTCTGAAACCTCTATCCTGGAAGAACTGTGCTATCGAGGGAAAAATGAGTAGGGTGGAGAAATGGTGATTACCCTGCGCCTTGCACATGGAAGTCCCTCTAAAGGAAAAGCTTATTCAAGCTCAAGACTTATATGGATGGCCCCTTTGGTCATCTCCTCTTCCCTTTCAGTCTGCCTTCACTCTTCCCTAACAGAAAACAACATGATGCTACTCAGTTTTGTGTAGAGGCACTCTTGGTCGTCAGAGGAAGGTAAAAACGGGGACCAGCAATGTCAAAGTTATTTAAGTTGGTGAATTGGTATTTTTTAGTCTTTTGTCTCAAGGCTGACGCAGCCTTGAGAGGATTTGTGCTAAGCATGTGTGCCTATGCCCCTCAGACTGCTAAGATTTGGCCTCAAATGCTCAGAGATGTAGAAATGGCCCAGAGGCTTCAATAAGAAGGCAAGAACATGGGTGGCTGGAGGCCTCCCTGCCTTCTAGTCAGTATGAACCCTCGGCCAAGTTCTTGGGGAAACCAGGTTTGTGTTCCTGAAAGAACAGTCTGGTTTTGGACCCTAGTGGGTTTCAGTAACAATATAGGCATCTTGCATAGTTTTAACATTCATAGGAGAATCTCTTTGAGCAGACTATAACTGCTATTGGAGGTGGGGAAGAACAGGACCTAGAAATTGGAACCAGTGGAGAGTCCCTGTTGGCAAAGGGAATGGACAGCTTCCAAGAAACGCTCACCAGTGTTTTCGTTGCATACCAGGCCTAACAGTCTTCCAGGTCTCAAAGTCAGCCTAGCTTCGCTGCACGCTTGACAAGTGCTTTCTCAGCAAGTCCCAGACCCAGGGCCCTTCTTCCCCCGAGATTGGCATTGGCCATGACCTTCCTTATAAGGCCTCTGAGCACACTCCCTGGGGCATGCTGCAGAGATTGCCTACCTTAGCCTTCCTTCTCCCAGGACTCTTCCTGGCAGCTTCAGTTGCTTCTCTCTTTTTTTTTTTTTTTTGGCCTGTGTTCACAATTATTTTTCACTAATATGTTGGGAAATGACCTTTTTATTTTGCACAAATAGTTGCACATTTATGGAGGAAATTTAGAAAAGTTCATTTTTAACTTTAAAGGGAAATCTTTTCTTTAAAACTCACTAATAAAGTTACTGATGCAGATGGGCCGCATGGTTAGTAGAAAACCGATGTGGAAAGAGCATGTTTATTCCTCCTGTACGTTTTCCTCTGTTAACTGCTATTAAACAAGAGAGCCTATGTACCTGTTTAAAAAGCCAGAGTGTTGTCTCATGGTTTTTTTGTTTTGTTTTGTTTTTGTTCTTCCATCCCTTTTGTACAGTGCAGCTGGATGACAGACATTGCATCCCCAGTCAACTGGACTAAGGAGCTATATCAGGCAAAAGCTTGGTGGGAAGGAGAAAGCCTGCCTGCCAGAAAAGGCAAGGAGTTCATATTGTGGCCTTGGAAACATCCCTAGCTCTGGGTTAGGTCGCCACACCCCACACTTTACTCCCCACCACCCCTGCCATGTATACAGTTAACACTGGAATCATTATCATCTTCAAGAGGAATAACTCGGGAAATAGCTACTTCATACAGAATTTTAGGCTAGGCAACACAGGATCCAATGTGTTTTGAACACTGGTCCTGCCATGGAAAGGCTCCCAGTCATTATGGAGCAATGTAGGATTATCTAGAACAAAACTAGACTGGGGAAGGGGGAGAGGTGAGCCTGTTTCAGAGCTCAGTGAGGGAGGGGGCAAGCATCACTGCCTGGCATAGGAAAGAGTGTAGTCAGGGAAGATAGCACCAAGACAGCAGGATGTTAATTAGCTGGGCCTTGAAGGAATTAAATTCAAACTTTGTTAAACTATGGAAATATTTTAGGTGTAGACCACATTAGAGTGAAAGTTGACCTGAGTCTGGTATGGTCTGGGAGGGTAGTGAAGAACCTGGTAGGCACAACTGGAACCATGGTGAGTAAGGCTAGAAATGTCACTGTTGTAACACCCAGCCTGCTTGTCCCCTAGGCTGGCACAGAAGCCAGGGGAATAGACTGGAAACAATTTCTTCAGTAACAAGACTACTGCAACTGGGCTTCAGTGCCTGAGAGACTGGGCTTCAGTCCCTGCTGTGCAACTTACTAGCTGGATGACCTTGAACAATTACTTAACCTCCTTAAATCTCATAATCCTTATCAGTAAAAGGAGAATGATAGCCCCAAGTTTACAGGGTTGTTGTGAAGCATAAATGAACTATGGAAAGTCAAAATGCTTAGCTAGTACCTAGCCATAGCATATGCACTATTTAAGACATCCTCCTCCCTCCCCTCCAATTCTACAACATTCCTCATGACTATTAGTCAAAATTGGCCAGAGCTTTTCTGCCTCCTGGCTTCTCTTCCTCAAACCCAGCACTGGATTGGTGGTAGTGATGCCCCTCGAGCATCCAGACATAAGACAGGTATTATTGTTAGGTGCCATCCAGTCAGTTCTGACTCAGTGACCATGTGTACAACAGAGTAAAATACTTCTCAGTCATGCGCCATCCTCACGATCATTGCTATGCTTGAACCCATTGTTGAAGCCACTGTGTCAGTCCATCTCATTGAGGCTTTTCCTCTTTTTTGCTGACCCTCTAGCAAGCATGAGATCCTTCTCCAGGGATTGGTCCCTCCTGATGACATGTCCAAAGTAATGGAAGACAAAGTCTCACCATCCTCACTTCCAAGGAGCACTCTGGCCATACTTCTTCCAAGACAGACTTGTTCATTCTTCTAGCAGTCCATGGTATATTCAATATTCTTCACCAACACCATAATTCAAAGGCATCAATTCTTCTTCAGTCTTCCTTATTCATTGCCCAGCTTTTGCATGCGTATGAGGCGATTGAAAATACCGTGTTTTGGGTGAGCACACCTTAGTCCTCAAAGTGACATCTTTGCTTCTGAACACTTTTAAGAGGTCTTTCACAGCAGATTTGCCCAATGCAATATGTCATTTGATTTCTTGACTGCTGCTTCCATAGGCATTGATTGTGGTTCCAAGTGAAATGAAATCTTTGACAACTTCAATCTTTTCTCCATTTATCATGGTGTCACTTATTGGTCCAGTTGTGAGGCTTTTTGTTTTCTTTATGTTGAAGTGTAATCCATCCTGAAGTCTGTAGTCTTTGATCTTCATCAGTAAGTGCTTCAAGTCTTCTTTGCCTTCAAAAGCAAACAAGGTTGTGTCATCTGCATATCGCAGGTTGTTCGTGAGTCTTCCTCCAATCCTGATGCCACATTCTTTTTCATACAGTTCAGCTTCTGAAAGTATTTGCTCAGCCTACAGATTAAATAAGTATGGTGAAAGAATACAACACGGTATAGTCCCTTCAAATTAGACAGCCAGCTGCCTGGCTCAGAATAGAGCCAGTCCTTTAGGCAGAATCTGTCCCTCAACACCACTCAGAACTTTTTCTTCTCTCATTTTGGTGCCAAAACCTGTACCTCCCACTAGAACCCAGGAGTTCCTAACCATGAACACTTGAAATGTGTGTGTGTGTTTGTGTGTATTTGTACATGCATATATAGTCTTGCATCTACCCATTTTTCTGTTAAGAAGGCTCATGGTTTTCATTAGTGTCTAAGAAAGATTCATGATCAAAATACCAAATGATAACCAAATTCCTTTGGAAATGGAGATCTTCCTTCAAGGGAATGCTGGAAGCTCTGAGCAGTTACATCTACTGTGAGGGAGTTCCCTCTCCCTACCTCATATAACACTGGCAGGAGTGTTTTCAAGACCTACAGCTCTGCCACCCCACCTTTTCCAGGAGGCCCTACCTGGAACCCAGGTCACAGCTAAATACCAATACAGCCACCACTTCCAACTTTCTCTCCCAAAACAAGATTGGGATACTAGGGGAGGGTATGAGGACCCTGCACTTTTGAGAATACAGAGGGGCTACCAGCTTGTTGGGGGAAATTACCAACACGAGAGTCCAGTACAGAGGCTTGGACTATCAAAATCAAACTAAAATTGACTCACCCCATAACATTTCCTACAGCTTTTGAGCACTGAATGTTATAAAGTCATGGCCAGGGCCTTATCCAGAGAGGTACCAGCAGCCCTTGGGTATGCTCTAAGGGAAAAACAAAACAAACAGAGAACAGGAAGCAACCATCAGCTTGCCCCCTTTCTTAGAGCTGAGCTTCTTATCTGCTCACCAGGCAGGTGAGGGTAGGGAATAGCTAGTGGGAGATAAGAGGAGGGAGGGGCGATAAAGTGCCAGACCCTTTCCCCTGAGGCCTTGTTTTGAATTTAATGGGCAGTGTTTACCCTGAATGAGAGAGAGAGCCTCCCGACCCAAGGGACCAGAAGACAAAGGCTCTTGAGGAAGTGCAACGAGGAGGAGGAGAGAAGTGAGGGCCCAGGCATTGTGTGGGAGAGCTACCCCTCTATCTGTTTCAATCACTGGTGGGGTTAGGGTTACCCTGCATTTGGGGCCCCAGCTGCTTTGTGGGGTCTATGACATTAGCTGTTGTGATGGTAATGGTGGGGCCTCTCTCACAGGGGCCACCCCTTCATGGACCTGCCTATATCAGCTCCCAGAGAGGATTGAAGCTCTTCTTCTCCCAGGGTGGGGGCAGCCTGCAGGCCCAGAATTGGACCCAAGACAACAGCCCCCCTCCCAATCTGAACCCATTGCTAAGCGTACCTTCCAAGCCCAAGCCATGACCTTCCTCTCTCCAAAACTTCAGAAAAGGAATGGAATCTGAACATTGAGACGCTTTTCTGGCCCTAAACAATCCTTCCATTCTCTAGGCTCAATGATGGGTCTATTTCCTCCTGTAAATGGGTCTCGTAATCTTCAACTTTTACCTTTGCTTCTAAGGGTAATTAATTGGATCTCCCTCTTGTTTTACCCACACACTCCCCTCTCTGTTACACGGCTCAAGTTAAGCTGGGTGGATGGCTTTTCTTTCTTTCTATTCCATGGGGTGCTTATTTTTAAAGCTGATGGAGTAAGGCCTGCCCTCTCCAATGAGTCCCTTCTCCAGAGAAGCCTGTTGGGCAAACACCATTACCATGGACAAAGGAAAAGGGCCTATGGACTCCACCAGCTAAAGGCTTTTCAGGTAGCTAGTTCTGATTGACCATTTTACTTTTTTACCTCAGATATGTTTCCAAAGTTTTAGGAGAGATTCCAGGGAAGAAGTTTTCAGGTAATACTCTCGGGGGCAACGTGGAGGGTTAAGTGGTTATCTAGACATTAGAGCCAAAGACAGACATAGGAGAAAGTAAGATCAAAAGATCAAAGTCTTTTTTTCTTCTTGCTAGAGTAAGGAAAAACAGTAAGGCCTCAGGTGCAGGGCAGCCTGAGGGCAGCAAGGTAGGGATGGGAGGGGGGAGGATAGGGCCCTTCCAGGGACAACTGGAGGAGAGGCTGATACATGGCGCAAGGTCATGCAAACAGTGAGTGGAGGCCCAGAGAGACTGATGATTTCTGGGTATCTGTGTACTTATCTGATGCTTCTGCTAGATAATGAGCTCTTCCAAGGCAGGAACCACATCATACTCATTTCGGAATGCCCTGAAACACCTAGCCCAGTGAATAGCACATGGGCACATATGACCGAATGAATCACACTTAGAGTAGGGACAGTGGTGTGCCAAGGGAGAAGAGCTGTGAGAGCAGTACTTTCTACTGAGAGGAATATTTTGTCACTGGCCTTGTTTAGAATTTCCAGTGTATGGTGATAATAAAAATCAGACCAGTTTTTAATCAGTTTTATTATGGTTTTTAAATTCTCTACAGACATGTCCCTCCCCAATCTTGGTATGCCACAGAGTAGGGAACAGATTGAAAACAGGTGAAGATTAAGAGGCAGATCACAAGTCAAGATAGCAATCTAATTCCTGATGGGCAGAATGTGGTCCTGGTGGTGGTGGTGAATGTGTCTGTACATGTATATGTGTAAGTATATGTGGGTGTATAACAGAATTGGGGGCTTCCCCACTGAACTCTAATCCTGTTCCCCACATATTATCACTGCTAACAGAATGATGATATTCCTTCAGATTATTTTAATAGGTACATACTGATTTTTTTTCACAAAAATATTATAGTGTATTATAATTTTTTCACTTAATGTATATTGGAAACACTGGTGGTGTAGTGGTTAAAAGCTATGGCTGTTAACCAAAAGGTCAGCAGTTTAAATCCACCAGGTGTTCCTTGGAAACTCTATGGGGCAGTTCTATTCTGTCCTATAAGGTCACTATGAGTTGGAATCAACTTGACGGCAACGGGTTTGGTTTTCTTCATATCTTAAACATCTTTCATGGCAAC